CGCGAGTTCGCATCGACAGAAAACGAGCTAGCTCGAAGGTAAACCGTCTCCGAATCCTGTTAGTATGAAAAGCTTTCAGGCGAACTAAGGCCCTCTGCTTGTCAAAATTTCCCCGGCAAAAAGCTTCGTGCGCCAAGTGGTTGGTGATAGCAACGATGAGTCGATTGGTGCCTTTGCCAAGACCACCATTCGTTGAAAAAGCAGCAGTAAGGAGGGTAGATCTAGACGGGTTGAAAGTTCCCGCATAGTGATTTGCCTTACTTGCAGCTCGATCTTCGAGGGCGGATCCTGGCTTAAGGATCGACTTTTCGATGCTTCGACCCGCGGATGGGTTGACGATTGTTACGTCTATGAGAATGGACTTGGTTCCTCTTCCTTTTCTCCTGCGTGTAATCCTGCGAGGATTACCAAATCCATCTTGTATAGCCCCTTTCCCCTACCAGTGCCTGTGGTAAAAGGGGAAGAATCCTCAACGGCGATGGGCATATGGCACTCGCGCAGTGTCTTGAGGACTTCCTCTTGACACCGAGGGTCCTGTCACTTGAATGATTAGAGACCACACAAACCCACGCAGACATTGGGCCAGCCCCTACCCCTAGCCTCTCCTTCCGTTTTATGGTGTCCTTCCGTGTCTTTGCTGTCGACGAGCCGTTGATGCGCTCGTCATGCTGTAGCCGTATGGCTTGTAGGCCCTTTCGCGTCCCACCAACCAGCGTGTGTTGCACACACCACACAGCGAGAGCGGGACGGGAGCAGGGTGTGCCCTGTACTACTGCTGTTAGCTTTCGGCGGAGGAAGCGAGAGGAGAGATATTGATTGGGTCTCCGTGGGTCCATCGGTTGGTTGTTGTTATTGTGTTGCGACGCGGCGGGAGGGAGCGGCCTCTGACTCTGCTGCTCTGGAGAGAGGAACACATACATCACAGCACGGAACCAGTAACACATCACGCTCGTTCCTAGACGATGTAGTACCACTGCTGCTGTGCTGTGCACCTCTCTACACTCATTGTGGGCGAGAGGGTGTGTCGCCTCTGCTGCTGCTGCTGTTGCTGTTATCTAAAGCCGTGGCGGAAGCGTCCTGCTCAAACAATCAGCAGCAGCAGCAGCAGCAGCAGCACCAGCCGGGGAATTTTTCAACGTTTTTTTTTTCCTGCGGGATAATTGTCAACGATGATGTAGAGTTTGGGATGAAATGAGGCCTCCGGCTTCGAGAAGCCCGGAGACTCCACCCAGGGTTACTACCCCCGCGTTGACGCCCTTCGTGTCGTTAACGCGGCAGTCGCTCAAAATAGTGACCCCAGTAAAATCAAATACTTAGCACAGTTGGGTGGGCGGGAACGGCTGTTCTTCCTACCGTACTCTCCCTCCGTTAGGGTTGAGAAGGCTTGTCACGAGTGGGTGCTCGCTCCAAGCTTCTCTGCAGGCAACATGTTCTCATCTGCAGAACCCCTTCACGGTTCCATGATTTTGACATTATTTTACTGCGGGATAATTGTCAACGATGTAGAGTTTGGGATGAAATGAGGCCTCCGGCTACGGCACGGGATCCACCCATACTTCACCTTTCGGTTATTCATACTGTGTCGGTGCCTGATATCTAATATTTTATCCCAAACTTCCATAGAGACTAGTAAACCGAGTGTCGTCGCCATTACAGTTTTCTATATCCCGAACGCAAACGTCTCCGCGACTCCTTCTTGCAGCGGCAAATCCACTGCTTGGTTAGGTATACCGCTGCTCCTGCTCCTTTTGGTCCGGGTCTCGCGGACGCTTAGCGGATGATCCCCCCTCGTGTATCATGGCGCCGACGTATCGTTGGGCTACCCGTTTCGTCTTCCACGCCACTAACGCCATGAGGGCTTCAACGGCCGTCCCCGCGAGGGACTGGCTAACAGCTCCTCCCACCCTAAAGGAGTGCATGGTATACAGGCCATGGTGGTCGTTCAAACGACCTTCCCGCATATGGCTCTGCAGAGCCGCTGTCATGCGAGCTGCCGTCCACTGGGACGTCCCCCTCGAGCCATCTCCTTGGATCTCGGGAAACAG